AGAGGGTTCGGGGGGGACGTGGGGCTGGGGTCCAGCTGCACTGCAGAGGGGGCAGAAAGGAGAGAGGCGGCAGAGCTGTGCGGGGCACACGTGGCCCCTGCACCCACTGCACCCAGGTAAGTCCTCCCGGGACCCCTCGGGCAGCCCCGCGCCCCTCACCTCGTAGGTGCTGGTCAGCCCCAGGCGGTAGAAGACGGGCAGGAAGACAAAGGCCGTCAGCAGGGTGCTGAGCGCCTGCCCCAGGCACATCCAGAGGAACTTGAGGCCGTAGCGGTAGGCTTCGGCCGGCACGCCCAGCACCTGGATGGCCGACATGAAGCTGGCCGACAGCGAGAGCCCCACGGGCACGGCCGGCATCTGCCGGCCCCCCATGAAGAAGTCTTCCGAGGTCTTCTGGCCGCCCTTGGCGAGGGCGTAGAAGAGCCCGATGGCCGTGGAGACCAGCAGCATCAGCCCGAAGACCCCGTAGTCCCAGAGGCTGAACGTCAGCATCTCTGGCCTGAACACCTCCATGCCACCTGCCCGCGACGTGGCTGCAGCGGCCGCACGAGCCTTGGCCCCACCTGGACACGTGCAGCTCCCTGCACCGCGGGCAGATCGGCCCGCAGCCCGGCCTGCCAAGGGACAGGGTGCAATGAGACCTTGCCGTGCCTCCGAGTGACTCCGGAGCAGCCAGACCTCGGAGGCAGAGCCGGGCAGTCAGACGTGGGCCCCGAGCCAGGCTCCGGGCGGGAGCGATGCAGCACCTGAATGAGCAACCTGAGCTTCACTGCAGAAAGGTGGGAGGGGGGGAAACGTTAATATTTCCAAACCACAAGCAACGGGGGCAAGAATCACGGTGCAGAGACGGAAGGGCCACGTCTGCAAGACCGGGCCAGAGGGCCCTGAAGGGCTGGTTTCAGCTCGGGGATGCAAAGAAAAATGGGAAAAGTCCCGTCCCCCGTCCCCCAACCCAGAGCAATAAACCCTGGAGCAGAGCCACCCGGACAGGACGACGGAGGATGCGGAGGCTGGGATCACAGCCCAGCCGGGCTCACCCCTCGCCGATCGGTGCCGCAGAGGGATCCTCAGCCCCGGAGCCAGCCGCCTCGGGACCCCGATCGCATCGGCCCAGAACGAAGTCACCTTACGAGAGACCCTGGAGGCTGACGCAGCGGAGAGGATGGGGCGAGAAGGCTGCTTCGTGCCAAGCAAAAGGTCGCCCTTCGTTCTGGGGGGAGAAAAAAGCCGGGGGATTATTCTTGCTAGGAGAAGAGCTTTTCCTGCAGTAAACGCCCGAGCCCCGCTGATGGGCTGGAAGCAGCAAAGCAGCGCAGGGGCAAGGGGCTCCCCCCAGCCGCCACGGCCCCCGGGAACGGGCGGTCACCCAGGCGAGGCAGCTCCGGACTGACCTGGGCAGCTTTGATTGAGGAGGCTTATAAGGAGGCAGCCGGTGATAAGGGAGGAGCTGCTACTGGCTCTCCCAGACCAAGGGAGACCAAGGCCGCCCATGCAGAGGCAGGTGCAGTGCCAAGCACCCTTGCAATGCCTGGCCCAGGGGCCCGAGCAAGTCCCTGAAGGCATGCTGCACCCCTGAAGGCAGGGAGCCGTGCAGGGGGCACGGACAACCCGGGCCCTGGAGAGGGTGGGATGCAGAATGAGGGGCACCGAGGACACACGTGTGCTCACTCCGGGACACACGCACATGCAGGGGCAGGTGGAGGTGCACGGGATGCTGTTGGGGGGCTGCCAGTCCCCCACCTCCAGGGCTGCGGAGCCGGGGCCTCCCTGGGGAGACCAAGGTTCAACTCTCCCTGCAGCCAGAGAAGACCTGGGTTAAAAGGAACCAGCCGCGGGGGCCGTTATCTGTGTTTGGGCCACGGGAGGATGGGGCAGCCTTGAAACGGGGCTGTCTGAAGGCCTCCTCCGCAGATGCCAGCCCTGAGCTTCTCATCGACCCCGGGGAAAACAGGGGCTAGGGTGATAAGGGGTGGCAGGCTGGGCTCTGGTGCCCCCAGGGTAGGGTAGGTGGCGTCCAGCGGCTTTGGGACCCTTCCCGTCGTGCCACCCCAGCCCCCACGTAACTTCCAGCAGCCCCAGGACTGCCCCAACCCCTTGGCGTTGCTCACCTCAGCCCCCTCCCGGTGCCTCTGCATCCTCCCTGCTCCGTCCCGGCGCCTGATTTCTGAGCACAAAGCAGTTGCTGGATCCACCCGCACCCCTGGACCCACCGCTTTCCGGTGCACTTAAGTCTTGAGATGATAGGAGGGCACAGATATGAAGAGCTAATGAAAGATGCTTCTGGGCAACGTGCCGCGGTGCCCTGCCCTTGTCAGCACCTGTCGCTGCAGCCCGGCAGGGCTAACCCCTACCCCTACCCCTACCCCCATCCTGGCAAACACAGAGCCTCTGAGCGCTGCAAGGAGAGACACGTGCTTGCACACACCAACACCTCCCAATCCCAACCCCTGTATCAGGTACCGGCAATTCAGGCCCAAGCTCCCTGGGGCACAGGGCCAGCCTGGGACAGGCCGTGGGCCAGCACGTGCCTTGCAGAGCCCAGCACGTGGAGCAACACGTCAAATAACCCCCCGCAGTAAAACCCCTGCAGCCACCAGTGCCCTCCCTGGTAAACAGGAGAGACAAGGCAGGAACACAAGCAGCGTGGAGGCCCCAGCACCCACGGCCGTGGGGAAGCCTCCCTGCCTGCAGGCAGCAGGACAGTCTGCATGCAATAGTCTCCAGGTGTTTTAAAGGCTGGGCTGGTTTGTGAACAGTGGGAAGCGGCCAGGGTAATAAATCTGCCAGTGGGCCATCTTGGCCAGGGTGTAGCCCCTGCTCAGTCAACATCCTCTGCTCCAGCCTAAGTGCTTTGCACAACTACAAGTGCCTCCAGCCCTGGGATGAGGAAATGTTCCTGCAACACGGAGCACCGCGCCCACTTGCTTCCCGAAACCCAGAGTCCTGCAGCCGCCCAGCCTGCTGCACGCGGGCACGGGGCGCTGGAGGCTGAGCGCACTGTGCCCAGACCCGCAGCCTGCCCCCATGCACGGGGACCCAGCATGCTCCCTGGGCTCCGGGAGCCCCATAGCCAGCAATGTCATGCAGCGCCCACCCTACCCAGAGCCTGGCGAGGTGCATGGCGTGGGGCAGCTGCCAGTACAAACAGCCTCCCTGCCCAAGGGAATCCCTTATCCAAACAGTGGAAGATCCCTCTTGGAAGAGCACCCAGACGGACCTGCTCCGGGGTCACGAGCGAGCCTCAGCAATGCAGGATTTGCCCTCTTCCCGTTCCCTCCATTGCACTGGGCCCAGTGCTCAGCTGTGCCCAAAGCAGCAACCTGGCGTGCATCCGGGATTCGGCCCAGCACAGGGCAGCAGCTTACCGCCCCCCTGCCTGGCAGCCAGGATTAGCCCCCAGCACCGCACGACTCATGGGGCTGCCTTTGAAGTGGGAATAGCCAGGGGCTGACCAAAGCGCGGGGAAGAAGTGCTGCACTCGCCTCTCCTTGCTGCAGCACCTGCCAGAGCTTGCACAGGCTGCTGCTAGCCTGGCACCAGCACGGGGACGGCCAGGCTGGCCGGACTGGACATCCCAGGTGTCACCTCCCCTCTTGTGAACAGCACCGGTCTGGGGCTCCCAGACCACGCCGGGTCCGGGTCTTGGGCTAGGCACCTGGTGGCGGGGTGGGAGGAAGGAGCTCCCGGAGAGCTGGGGTGCACCGTGCAGACCGCTGGCACCTCTCAGCACTGGAGAACAGGGGAGGGGGGCGATCACGCCCCCCACAGCAGAGCAGACACAGACTGCACGGAGCAAGTGTATTTTCAAGCATACAGACAGATTTTCAAGCCCCGTCCCACCATGCTCTGCCAACTCACTGGCACTAGGTCCCTCTGCTCAGGCTGGCACGGCCGGTTTCCCTCTCCCACCCGCGGCCCAGCTGCCGGCAGCAGGGCTCCCTTCCCAGCCACGCCGCCCTCCTGCCTGACGGGGGTGTCGTCCATCACAGCCACAGGAAACCCCAGCAGCTCCTTGTTTCAGGGCTGCGGCTGGCTCTCTGCTCCCCAGAGGCTTCCCATCCCTTGCAGGGGCCAGTGGACCTGCACTTGCCCCCGCCACGGAGAAGAGCCCCCGCCGGCTGCAGCTCCAAGCCACCCCCAAGGGGCAAAAGTGGCGGGGGCAGCTGCTCTTTGCAGGGAGGGACCCAGGGGAGGCAGTGAGGGGATGCAGCTCCGTGCCCAGGGCATCCCCAGCCTCTGGGAGCGTGACCGTGGTACCCGGGCAGCTCCAGGAGTGGTGCAACCTGGTGGCAAAGCCTCTGCTGAGCTGGGCCCCCTCGGTGGGGGCTAGTTCAAAGCTTTTTGGGGGGAAGCAGATGGGTTTCACTGCAGTAAGACGCCAGGGATGAGTTTGCAGGGGAGCCGCTGGCGGCTTGCTCCCGGAAAGGCCCCACAGCTGCGTGCCAGCCTGCACGCACCACGTCTTGGTCCTCCTGCCCACCTCCACCCCCCCATGGCATGGCTGGGACCGGAGCCAGCCTGCATCCCCCGCAGGAGCCCGGCTGGGTGCCGGGACCCCCCTGCCCCGGCAGCCCCCACGCACCGCGCACACCCAGCCGCGCGTGGCAGGAAGTCTGTGCAGCACCAGGGCAGGAAGGAAGCTGGGAGGGGGACTTTTCTCTTTCCCCTGTTTAATCTCCATCTTCTACCCGACGCCCACGCAAGCCCGGAAATACAAGCAGCGAGCGCCCAGCAGCCTGGTCCTGCCCCATCGCCAGGGCGTCGCCTCGCCTGCCCCCAGGGTGGGCTGGATTGAGGACCCCTCATCCCCTCCCAGGTAACCCCCCAGCCTCGTGCCCCAAGAAGGCGCGGGCAAGGGGTCTCCAGGGGTTAGCACGCGGCTACAAGGGCCCTGCCACGGCCTGGCACCGGGGACTTGGGCACCCATAGGGGAGGATGGGGGCACACGGGTGTGCAAGCAAAAGGCAGGGGTGGTTGGGGGCTGGGGCTCAGTCCCCGTGCTCCCACTAACCCCACTTCTCCCCCCAGAGCCGCGGGGCTGCACCCGATGGCTAACCCGGGGCTTGCCTTGGCAGCGCCCTGAGATGCGCTCCAGACCGGGGGCGAGCCGATAGCACAAGTGCCCCCGAGCAGCGTGGAGACACCCCCGGGTAGGCAGTGCCTCAGTTTCCCCCCAGGGATTCCAGCCCCAGCTCCCAGGAGGCTTCGTGGGTTGGCAGGGCATGCCGGGTCTCTCGGCTCAGGAAGCCGCCCCGAAGCTCAGCGCCGTGCCCCGCTCAGGCTGGAGCCGCGCTGGCAGGGCCCCCCGCCCCTGGGGAAGGCGGCGCAGGAGCTGCACCCCCCGCAGAGCGCGAGCTGCAGCCTGATGCCAACCGCAGGCCGGCGCTGACGCGGGAGGTGCCTTCCTGGGGCCGGGGCTGGGGTCAGGGCAGGGAGAGGCTCCGCAGTGCCCCTGGGGTGCTCCCCTGAGCGGAGGGGTGGGGGGGTCCCGCCGGGCTAACCCCCCCCCGTCCTTGCAGTGCCCGCCCCGCCATGGCCCCGCTGGGCGAAGACACCCCCCTGATGGGGCACTGCTCCAGCAGCCTGTCCTCCACCGAGGCGGGCATGCTGCAGGTGCACCTGTACCACCAGCCCGGCACCCCCAACTCCTCCGGCACCCTCACCTTCTCCTTCGGCGAGTACCTGGCAGAGGAGCTGTGCGTGGCGGCCGCCAAGGCCTGCGGTGAGGCCACGCTCCGGTCCCTGGGTTAGGGGGTCAAGGGCAGGGGCTGGGGCCCTGGGTGGCTCCACAGTGCCCCCAGCATGGCATGAGGAGGGGCCGGGTTCTCCCCTGCCTCTGCCACTGACCCCCCCCAGTGCCCCTGGGTGACTCACTCAATGCCCTGACGGGGCAATGCCCGCCGTCTCGCACCCCTGCGCCCCTCCAGGCATCCTGCCCATTTGCCACTGTCTCTTTGCCCTGGCCACCGAGGACCTGAGCGGCTGGTTCCCCCCCAACCACGTCTTCACCGTCAGCGATGCCACCACCCTGGTCGTCGTCTACAGGATCAGGTACCCACCCCCACGAGCCCCAGCGCACGCGGGTCCAGGGGTGCTCAGACCACGCCACGGGTCCCTGGCCTGAGCACACAGCGGCTCTCCCCGATGCCCACCCCAGCCCCTGCCCTGGGGGTGCACGTGGAGGCGGCGATTGAGAGACCCTGGTCCCAGCTGTCCTCTCCCTGCCCCCGGGCTAGGTTCCTCTTCCCCAACTGGTGCAGGCCGGGGAAGTCGCAGCGGTTCCAGCTGCTGCAGGACCGGGCCAGCACCGTCCTGGACCAGCCCGTCATCGACTACCTCTTTGCTCAGGTGAGCAGCCCCAGCCCCAACCCACCAGCCCTACAGCTGCAAGATAGCCCCAGACCAGCAAATCCTCCCCTGCCCCGTGACCTTGGCCCCCTCCACCATTGCACAGCTGGGCCTGCTGCAGAGACTCACCCAAGGCTGTGCAGGGAGGCGGTGGCGGTGGGCCCGTCCCGGAGGGGCAGGCAGCACCACGGGGTGCCCACTTTCTGCCCGCGGGGTGGACGGGTGGGGAGCAGATGCCCCTGCCCCCCATGCTGACCCTGCGGGGCACCTAGTCCCGCAGCGACTTCCTGCGGGGGCTCGTGGCGGGGGCGCTGAGCTGGCAGACGCTGGAGGCCTGCCTGTGCCTGGCCGTGCTGGACATGCTGCGCATCGCCAAGGAGCGCCGGCAGAGCCTGGACCGCGTCTTCAGCTGCGTCAGGTGAGGCTTGCGGGCGGGCACCTGCAGCCTGGCAGGAGCATGCATTGGCACTGCCCCCCCTCCCTGGCCCCTGGCCCCGGGCCGGTGACCGGGCAGCCCTGCTCCCCTGTGCCCCAGCGCTGGGATCCCCCACCCTCACAGCCCCCCTCGCCCGCCCCCGCAGCTACAAGTCCTGCCTGCCCGAGGGGCTGCGGGACCAGATCCAGCAGCGCGGTTTCTTGACCCGCAAGCGCATCCGCCGCAAGTTCGGGCAGTCGCTGCGGCGCCTGGGCGCCTGCCAGACGGATGCCCGCTACCTCAAGATCAAGTACCTGCTGGACCTGGCGCGGCTGCAGGGCACGGGGGCCGAGGAGTGCTTCTGGGTGCGGTTCCCTGGCGCCCCCGACCCCGAGACCCTCATCCACGTGGCAGGGGAGAGCGGCGTCTTCTGGAGCCACAGCGGGGACGAGGTGAGGCGGGGGCCGAGCGCCGGCTGTGGGGTCACCCCTGGAGCTGGGGCTCTGGGGTGCCAGCACCCGCTGGTGGGCACGTTACCTGCTGCCGCCAGCCAAGGGCAATGCTGGCAGCGTGCACGGGGCTGTACGGTGCCCTGTAAAGGATAGACCCAGTTTGCAGCCTCCGGGCCAGCCCAGCCCAGCCCAGCCCAGCCCTCGCTCTATGCATCCCCGGGGGCTTTGCACCACCCCAGAACTGGCTGGTCCATGCCATGAGGACCGCTGTAGCCCCCCGTTCAAGCCCAGTGCCTGGCACACACTCGGGAGGGTGGCACTCTTTGGTAAAGGGTTGGACACTCTCGCCGCGGCCTGCCCCAATGCCTGCAGCCCAGCCCTGGGACCCAAGGC